TATTCTATTCTATTCTATTCTATTCTATTCTATTCTATTCTATTCTAAAACTGTATCTTGTTTTGGGCACATCACATCACATTTCAAAGAGATAGTGACATATTGGGGACATTTCAAAGAGGGGCTACCAAGATGGTGAAGTGTCTAAAATCAAGTCTGGTCAGGAATGATTGTCAGGATTGGAAAGGCTCTGAGTATGTTCAGCCCAAAAATAAAATGAGTGAGTGACAGATTATAGCAATCTTCAAATATCTGAAGAGCTATCTTACAGAAGGAGTTTCTCTATTACTTGAAAAAATAGGACTAGAATCAAGGACATCAGGCTAGACTTTAAGAGGAACTTTAACTTTTAAGAACTATGTGAACTGTCAGCTAGTAGAAGAGACTATCATATGAAGAGGGATGTTCTTCATTAGAGGTCTTCATTCAGAGATGCTCCAGTGGATTCTGTACCAAAGAGGAGATTGGAATTCTATAATTTTATTAAAATATTAAGACAGGCCTGGGGTTTAATCATTGTGTTCTCATATTCATTGTATCATTTATGTGCTTATTTGTGCAACTGGGTGAATCGACACCTTTGTGTAAAGAGCAGAAGGAATAACCTTTGCAAATAGTAGGAAGAACTGCAATCAAGAGCACAGTAAAATAAAAGAATAAAATCTGGGGCAGATCTGTAACCCAGGTAAGCATCCCAGACAAGACCCTTCTGTTTTTCACCAAAGTAAAGGGAAGGAAGGGAAAGTGCACTTGGACTTGCAAGACTGTTGTTATAACCTTATCATGAAACTCGTATTCACTCTGATTTCCTAGTCTGGACCACCTTGAAGGGTTGAAATTTTGTCTGCTAGATAAGTCTCATGTTAGAAGGCAAGTGAAACAGAAGGACTTTTAGTTTCATGCAGTGGGATCTAATATAGAGTTCATTATTACAATCAAGTATCTAGTTTGCATAATACTAAGCTATGGTTTACCATTAGTAGAACAAAGAGAACCCAGTCTCAGGATTACTTCTTTCTCCTCTTGTATGGCCATAAAGAAAGGACATTAAGTCAGTCAGGAGTCTGAACCTAGAACACTGTCATAAACTCCAATGGCTGTTCATAAACAGCCCAAAAGCAAACCATGTTTTAAACCAGACATAGCAATCTAGTGCTCGGCACATATTTTGAATTCCAATCCCAGTAACTACAATAGCACCTAGACTTATATCACTTTACAGTGCTTTACAGCCCTCTCTAAGTAGTTTACAAAGTCAGCATATTGCCCCCAACAATCTGGGTCCTCATTTTACCCACCTCGGAAGGATGGGAGGCTGAGTCAACCTTGAACCAGTGAGAATCAAATTGCTGGCAGTCAGCAGAATTAGCCTGCAATTCTGCATTCTAAAGAAGGGTTTTTCTAATCTAATTCCTGACTACAACCTGAAGCTGAAATTGTTAACCCAAAATATTTGGTTGACATCACTTTGACTTACCTTCTTTTTAACTAGTTAATGTTCCAACTCTCGTTTGATGAATTAATGTTTAGTTCAATTAAAAGAGGACACATGGGTTCTTGATTTTTGTATGACTAAGGAGGAGCAAACAGACTTCCACCTGCCCTTTCATTTAGTGTTAAACCCAGGAATATATCTGAAAAGAGCAAGGAAATTCCATCATTGCATAGCTGACTAAGATGTTTATCCAAATGGGTTTCATCAAATTGCAGCATGCCACTGACGATAGTACACATGCCTTCTTATCTAAGGCCATGAATGAACTGGCCCTAAATTCATTAAGAGTTTTTGTTCAAGATCAGCACTTTCAGGAAAGAGAGCATGGATAAAACAAGGCCTATCCCTTTGCCTAAGAGGTATGAGAATGAGTCTAGGTCAATGCAGAATTTGACTAGCAAAATGATCAAGATATACGCAGTAGAACTGTGGGAAGTCTTGGATGGCCACAAAATGACTTACACTGCACATCTACTCGAATGGACTTGATGGCAGGGACCCCAACCCCATTCTCTGCTTTACAGTAATAACGACCCCCCTGAAGCCTCTGGATCTTCTCAATCAGAAGGGTCTCATTCAACACCGATGTCTCCTGGAATTTGTCCGAGGCACTGCCAGCAGTTTTGGTCCACCTCACCTAGAGGAGGGGAAGGAGAAAAACAGAGAGAAATAAAACATAGGAAACAAGCCATTATTTATTTGAAATGCTTTTAGGCTGCTTATCATGCTATGCATCTGCAGGCAATGCGTATATTATGCAACTGTACACAGTGAACCATTTAATATACAAACATATAAAACATTTACAAATATATAAAAATGAACAATGTGCTAAATGCCAGAGCGAATATCAATGTCAGGCTTCCTCCAGACTGATACTCAAAACTAGAAGGTTAGCAGGCAGAGATTTCAGAGCACAGCCTTGGATCATCTAGTTTTATTAGATATTTGAAAAGTTATCATTAGAACAGAAAACCAGTAACTGCTAACCACATCCTGTAAACCAAGTAGACAACAGTCCCCACATGCCAGTCTTATCTGTCGTTCTCCTGCCTTTGTGTCCGAATGGACGGAGAGCTGGTTGTTTATCTGTAGATTTATCGATAACTGATATAGGTAATCCTCGACTTAGCATTACAATTGAGGCCAACATTTTCATTGCTAAGAAAGACAGTTGTTAAGTGAGTTGTGCCTCATTTTATGATCTTTTTTTTTTTTTGCTGTAGTTGTTAAATGAATCACTGCAATTGTTAAGCGAATCTGACTTCCTGCATTGAGTTTGTTCGTCAAAAGCCAGCTGAGAAGTTTACAAATAGTGATCACATGACCCTGGGACAGTGCATCTATGATAAATACATGCTAGTTGCCAAATTCCCAAATTTTGATCATTTTACTTTACTTTACTTTATTGTCATTGCACCTCGTACAACAAAATCAAACACCATCTTCAGTGTACATCATGACCATGACCATGAAAATAAACACACACATCCTTCACCCTCCACACATTGAATCTAAAAACCCCGACACCACACCAACACTGCACTATACAGCAGAATTCAAAAGAGCTACTGCCCTGGGATAGAAGCTGCTTTTCAGACTATTTGTCCTTGTTTTTATTATTCTGTACTGTCTGCCAGATGGTAATAGTTCAAAAAATGGGTTCCCAGGATGAGATGGGTCTTTGAGAATGTTTTGAACTTTCTTAAGGCAGTGGGAGCTATAACGCTCTTCCAAAGAGGGGAGAGGGCAACCAATGATCTTCCGGGCAATGACGTTAACCCTTTGGAGTGCTTTCCTATCTGCCACTGTGCAATTGGCAAACCATACAGAGGTGTAGTAAGTTAAGATACTCTCTGTGGTGCAGCGGTAGAAGGTCACCAGCAGTTTTTAATTCAGTTGTTGTTTTCTGAGAAGTCTCAGGTAATATAATCTCTGCTGGGCCCTTTTGACCAGTGCTGCAATGTGAGCACTCCAGGTCAGGTCCTCTTTTATGATAACACCCAGAAACTTAAAACTGGCCACTTGTTCCACTCAGTCTCCATTGATAAGCAAGGGCTGGATGTCTGATCTGTTCCTTCTATAGTCCACTATAAGCTCCTTGGTCTTATTGGTGTTGAGGACCAAGTTATTGTCTCCATACCACAAAAGCAACCGGTCCACCTCATCTCGGTAGGCAGGCTCATCCCCCCTGGAGATGAATCCCACCACTGTTGTATCACATGACCATTGGGATGTTGCAATGGTTGTTAAAAACAGCCATAAGTCATTTTTTCAAGTGCCATTGAAATGATCACTAAATGATTATAAATCAAAGACTACCTATATTTCTGTTTTGTTACTATAATACATCTTTAGAACTAGGATTTCTGCATCTAATCTCAATACTTCTGTCCTCATAAAAATGTTTTTGGCATGCATTTAATATTTTATTTATACATTTTTCTTTAGCAAACATATAAACTCAATATGTACATGAACAGCGTGATGTCTGAGTACGGTTAGATTTGAAAAATAATAATAGTAATAATAATGATATACATATCATTGATAATAATCACATAATAATAGTAATATTAGCTTATCCATACTAATAAACCTTCATTATATAATTAATCATTCTCTTAAGCATTTAAGTTTCTAACTTCTGTTTCTGTTAACTAACCATTGGTAAACAAGTCCATGTTAAAAAGTATTCTGTTTCTTCCTTCTTCTTTGTTTTAAATGTTAATCTATCCATCTCTATGCATTCTAATATTTTTTTTATTACACTTTCATCTATAGGGATTTCTTCATTTTTCCATTGTTGTGCAAAAACAATTCTCGCTGCTGTTAACCCATGTAAGATTAAGATTATGTATTCCTTTTATTGCTCTGGTAAAATGCCCCCAAAAAAATATTTTTGGTTTTATATCAATATGTTGCTTTATCATTTTTCCTAATCATGTATGTATTTTTGTCCAACATTTTTTTGCCTTTGGACATGTCGACCACATATGATAGTACGAATGGCATGCATTTAAATTGACATGAAATTGGCATGTGTTTTATGTCTCACATCAGTTTTCTACACAATCTGAATCAGACTTTTAACTTCATACTTGGATGTTAAAAAAAATGTTTTTGCTCCAAATAGGATCTTACTTTTGCCAATAAAGAGCACTCTCTCAGTAACTCTGGACAGTCCAAAGATATTAGCAGTAACTCTACTATTTTGCTTTCAGTTAGCAATCACCACATGCTTCAAAGCTACATTTGCATAGGTGCATCAGGGCTAATTGGGATCATCACATTTCTGAACAGAGTTAAGTTTCAGTCAATTCTCTCTAAACCCTGAGAATCATGAAATGGTTAATTTTCAGAAGTAGGAGATGCATACCTACTACGTTGCTTCCTTTCTGTTAATTAATCTTCTCAGGGTGTTTGTTTATGCCACTGTTTGAATAATTTTATTTTGTTATTTATTTTATTCTGTAAGTGTTCTGGGCAGTGAATGAATGAGGTGAAAAGGGTAAAGCAATAGAAATGGATTGTAAAAATATCACAACCTGCAGAAGTGGCCAGAGGAAAAAAAACAACTTTTTTTTGAAAGACTGAAAACCTTATATGGAAATTTCTGCTGAAAGGAGAAGGAAATTACATGATGATTTATGGATTTGAAGATTAAGTGTGGGTTGAAGGGATTTGTATAACATCTTAGGGATAGGGATAATGAAACTGCAATTGAAAGGAAGATCAGAAGTCATTTATATATTTTTTAATTTAGATTTCTTTTTATTTTTGGTACTTTCTCATTCTTTTTCAATTGGTATTTTATTTTATGGGGGGAAATTCTATAATAAACATATAAAAAGAAAAAGGTAAGGCAATGAAATATATTGAGGAAAGGAATAGAGCCCACTGCAATCATTCAAATTTTTCTCATTTAGAAAGGAAAGAAATGGGTTAATCAGGTAGAAATAAAGAAAAGGAAGAAGGAGGTGGTACTTGATATGGAAAAGATGTAATATTCAGATTGTTGGCTAGGCCAAAAACAATATGTTGCTTCCATTTTTCATTAGAGCAGATGGCAAAAACCTGGCAGATGCAATGGAAACGCAGAAATGGGAGCAGCAGACTGGTGAGCAGAGGGCACCAGGAAAGCTGGCAAATCATCCTATAATGGTATTTCTACCCAGGATTGAATGCTAATTCCAGAAGAGGTCAGGCAGGCTACTGTTATCAGCAGTCACTGTCAATCTGCCACAATCTGAACTAGCACTAAAATCAGAAATATGTGCAGGAAGAGTACCTTGAGTATAGTCTCATCTATATTCCACGTCTCAAATTACAGAATAAATGAGTAACACATACAAATTGGGAGTGTGCAACGGTCTTGAGGCAGTGGACTGAAGCTTTTCCCACCTCCCAAAATAATAATAATAGTAATGGTAATGGTGATCATCATCATCATCATCATCATCCTGATATTACGGTTGTTGAGGGCTGAAGCGTACAATTTATTGATATCACTGTGCCAGGAGATGCCAGAGTCAAAGAAAAAGAACTGGAAAAAATCATGAAATATCACAACCTGGCCATTGAAACTATGTGGTTATGGATGAAACACGTAACAGTGAAACCCATTGCAAGAAATATTATTTGCCTGTAAGCAAGAACTGGTGGGACCCTAAAATAGAAAAAAGTCATAGAAAATGAAAAAGTTAAATTGCTCTGGGACTTCAGAATCCACACAGACAGGCACCTGCCACATAACACCCCAGACTTAACAGTTGTCAATAAGAAAGACAAAAAAGTCTGGATAGTGGATGTGGCAGTGCTTGGAGACAGCAGGATAGAAGAAAAAGAACTGGAGAAGATAACAAAATACAAAGACCTACAAATAGAAATAGAACGACTATGGCAAAGGAAAGCAATAGTAATAGGTGCCTTGGGTGCAGTCCCAAAACAATTGGAGCATCACTTGAACATTATAGGCATTGACAAATTTGCCATCAGTCAATTGCAGAAGGCAACCTTACTTGGAACAGCTTCCATCCTCTGGCGATATCTGTAACACCATCAAACAGCCAGATTTGCCCATCCCAGGTCTTTGGTAAGGACTCGATAGGTAGACAAAAATGCCAAACCCAGTCTGAACATCTGGCTGACTGTATGATGATGATGATTATTATTATTATTATTATTATTATTATTATTATTATTATTATTATTATTAACAATAAAAACAATAAATAAATCTGCAGCTGACCAATGATGATCTTGTCAGTGCCAATTGTTTTTAAGTGCTTGCCTAGGTCTTTAGGCACAGCACCCAGTTTGCCGATTACTACTGGCATAAACCAGTGCAGGTGGTTCCAGTGGTAATCGACACACTGGGTGCTGTGCCTAAAGACCTAGGCAAGCACTTAAAAACAATTGGCGCTGAGAAGATCACCATTGGTCAGCTGTAGAAGGCCACCTTACTGGGATCTGCTCACATAATCCGCCGATACATCACTCAGTCCTAAACACTAGTGTTCGACTAGTGATTTGTGATACGAAACCCAGCATAGTTATCTTGTTTGCTGTGTATACTGTCATTTTTGTGTATAATAATAATAATAATAATAATAATAATAATAATAATAATAATAA